CTCCTCTCCTCTCCTCTCCTCTCCTCTCCTCTCCTCTCCTCTCCTCTCCTCTCCTGTCGCTTGACTTGGTGTGTCATTTAGTGGTATACGATATGTAAGGAATAAGTCAGTGAAGGAAAAGCAAAGAACAGACTCAGTTCAACTTCAAAATGACAAGAGCAGACCTTGCTGGTCTGAGCTTGCTAGTCTGAGATGTTAGTGTTCTCGTGCCTTGTGGCTTGGAACCAAGGGTACAGGAAAACACTGTACAGGATCTGAGAGTCAGCTTTTGCTTCTGATGAGAGCTCTGGGCAGGTTTAATAGCTTCCATTCTGAAAATGCCAACTAGGCCTTCCTGGTTTAGGGCTGTGCTCCATGCCCTTGTTCACTCATCTTCTGCACCTGTGAGAATATCCTGAGCCACGGGCTCTACCTCACTCACGTGCAGTGTAAACGATGCAGTGAGCAGGTCAAGGCAGAGGGGTCAGAGCGCTCATGTGTGTGTGTGTGTGTGTGTGTGTGTGTGTGTGTGTGTGTGTGTGTATGTGTGTGTGTGTGTGCACTCGTGCACGCGTGCTCAAGCCAGAGGTCAATCTCAACTGTCATTCCTTCTTAGGCACCATCTGCCCTGTTTGTTGAGACAGTCTATCATTTGTTTAGAACTTGCCCAGTAGGCTGGCCAGTCACGGATCCTCCTGTCTCTGCCTCCCCAGCACTGAGACCACATCTGCCACCACACCCCAGCTTTTCTTACGTGGGTTCTGGGGTTCCCCAGGCACTTTTCCAGCTGAGCCATCTCCCCATCTCCTTCTCTTTCTGGTTTTCTTTCACAGTAGTGTATCCCTGGCTGACCTGGCACTCTTTACATAGATCAAGCTGGCCTCGAACTCACAGAGCTCCACCTGGTTCTGCCTCTCAAATCCTGGGATTAAAGGCGTGTTTCCTTCAACTCAGTTCCTTCCGGGTTTTAATCCACGTCCTTTAGTTGAGCTTGCTGAGAAATGAATTTTCTGAGGTTCGGGCCTGCTATGCGGTCACTCAGTGTGGAGTGTGGTGGAGTTCGGGGACTTGAAATCACCTCACCTGTCCCTCCTCAGGTACAAGAAGAACCTGAAGGCACTGTATGTTGTGCATCCCACGAGCCTCATCAAAGCACTGTGGAGCATCTTCAAGCCCCTCATCAGGTGAGCACGCACCCCATGGACCCTCACGACACCATTTCTGGGGTGCACCTCTGTCAGAGGGCTCCACGCAGGTCTGCCTCTGAGGCATCTATAGGATATCATGGGGGGGGGGTCACATGACTGCCTAGGCCGTGTACTGAGGCTCTCTGAGGTTGTGGACAGGAATGCTGCCCCATGATGCTGATGTTACAGCTAGTATTTTAACTACACCGTGACCTGAATACCCACTTTCTACATCTGTATCTCGGTTCCCAAGGTCACTGTCCAGTTCACAAAGCCCAGGAAGGGCTCCAGTTCACACATCAGGGTAACTGTAAATGCAGAGGCTGGGACCCAGGCACATGGGCTCTCACTCTTGGGGAATGACCGGGGACAGCCTGTCCCCTGCAGCTGGGTATGATATAGTGAGGAAGCCATGCTCAGTGCCCAGGTGTTCTCGTAGAGTTGATCCTGGGGGTGTGAACACTCCACAACAGGCCTCAGTGACTCGGTCTCCACCCACTCTGGGTACAGACAGATCACCCTGTGAGGCGCTGTCTCTATCGTCTGCTGGTATAAACTGTGTGACTCACCCATGGCCATGTTTCAGATTTCCTCTCTGGAGCAGACAAAGGCACAGACTTTTTCTGGAAGCTCAGGATGGGTACACCAAGCCATAGGTTAGCCTTTTACTCCCTGTATTTGAGCAAACAGCCCAGAAACATGGGAACTTCTGTCAGCTCTTTCCAAGTCAGGACTCTTTCTCACTGGACAGTGATTTCTCTGACAGTATCTGGAAAAGCCCCAGGGGACAGTAAGACCTGGCTCTGCTGAGAACCCAGGGATGTCTTCATTTCCTCCCCATTTAGCCATAAGCATCAGGCACAAACTGCACCCAGCCACACATGGTGTGTGGATGAGTTTCATCACGAAAGCCCAGTATCTGCACAGGGCAGGTTGGGACACTCAGGTGAGGGAACACATTCAGAGAGGAAGTGGCAGCATCCTTCCTGGTCAACCAGGAGGACTCAGGAGGGTTTTCAGGAGGAGCATTCTAGTGCAGGGAGGGCACACACATAATGAGTGGACACCCTTTGCTGGACATGGCCCTCGAAACCTTTTGCTGCCTCCTCCCCCATCATGTCTCCCTGACCCCTCTCATTTGCTGATACCTACCTACAGCGGCTCAGAAGTCCACAGCCAAGAGGGACATTCATGTTGTGCCCTGTGTGTAGGTAAGAAAGCAGGACAGAGACAGGGCTGGACATCACATCCTTTCTCCCCATTCCCCTCTGACGTCAGCAGCCCAGCCCACCAAGTACATGGAAATCTCCCATCCTCCTGCATCCCTGCCTCCCACCTGCCTCCTTGAGGGTTCAGCTGTGTGTCTTACCATGCAAAGTTCTCAAGTCTCCATCACTCAGACACAGCCACACTGTTGGTAATCAAACCCCTCTTCACTGGACAACGAGTGACCCTAAAGGTCATTCGGGTCCCAGAACCTGCAAATCTGTCATGGTCCACAGCACAGGGGTTATGCAAATGAGATTAAGTTGACGACAGAAGACAGCTTGGAATGTTGTCCCCGGCTCTCCGGCTCTCGGGCTCTCAATGGGGTCCTTAGTGAAGAGCCTTTCCCAGCACCATCAGGAAAGAAGCTCAAAGGTGCTGCACCGCTGGCTTTGAGGATGGAAGCAGGAGTCCCACCTCAAGAGTCACAGGCACCTTTAAGAACTAAAGGAATTAAGGGGGCCACAGCCCTGCTTGCCCATGGTCTTTCCCACTGACCTGGACCCCATGGTGAGGATGCTGGTGCCATTTTAAGCTGTTTCTTTTGCCCTGGGTCCCTGACAGCTGCCTGGGGACCACCCATCTATATCCTAGGACCCCAGAACCCCACTAGTACATGCTCTTGAATGTCTGCCTGAATTGATCCCTGTGTTTACACCAGACATTCCTATTTGGTGTGTATGTTTGTTTGCATGTACTCAAGTACACACACACACACACACACACACACACACACTCCATCAGTGGCTCCTGGAAAGTGCTGCTCCCCGTCTCACCTTCAGCCCCATCCCACACTGCAGCTGGCCTACAGCTCAATGTACCTCCCCACAGCCCTCGTGTTCTACGGAACGTGGCATGCACCACCGGGCCTGCTTTACTCTAGAATGTCTTTAACTCTCCTTTTGGGATTGAACCATCTCTTCACCTTTTGTTATACATACCGAACCATCTTTCTTAGGCAGCCATGCCCTCTCTACTTCTAAATGGGAGGTGGGGTGGGGGGGATGTCAGTGCTCAGAGAGGCCATACAGCTTCCACAGTTGTTCCAGGGAAATGTTAGTGATTCCCCCCAAAACAGACAGGAGCCAATCTGATGCAACTCACAGCAGGACCTTTATTCTATTCCAGCTAGCTCAGCCCCCCACCCACCACCATACCACTGTCACACAGGATGGTTTTGGTGGTGGAGGAGCCCCGAATGTCTATCAGGACAAGGCTTTATAGTAAGCAGCAAGCAGGGAGTACTTGTGCAAACATCTAATTGGAAAGCCACTGTGACCTTTAACATGATTGGCTGGTGCTGGGAGTCATATCATAAACTTAATTTCCGCTCCCTTCTGCATTGGTGGTCCTTAGGTAAGGGGTGGGCTTGTGACCTGGGGGTGCAGGTTTGTTGGAGGAATGACCTAGAGACACTGTTGAGGGTGTAACCTGGAAACGCTGGTCTTGTTGAGAATTAGCCTAGAGATTGGAGCTAGGCTCAGGTTTTGTTGGGGGGCAACTTGGAGACTAATGCTAGGTACCAGCCTGTTAGTTTACCTGAGTTCAAACTTAGGTCAGGTTCTCTAAAATGCAGCCTGAACTTAAAAGATTTGACCTCTCAACACAGCTTGTGAAGGACTCTGGACTGGGATCTAACAACAGAATGAAACCAGAACACAGGATGAAGTGTGTACTCCCGCAGACTTGAGTTGGATCCTGAATTATTGTCCTGACTCAGTCTCTTCCGGCAGCTGCGGGTGTGGCACAAATTTTGTCTCATGTCTGTGTTGGAATTCCTGACTGAGTTGCCCAAGCCTCACCCCCCAGCAGGGTAACAGCCCAGACGGGTCATGGCTACTTACCCGCACTAATCCTAGGGTCCAGTGGTGCCTGGCTTACAGAACTCATTTGGCAGCTACAGAGAGAAAGGTCGTGTGTGGCTTGGGAGTGACATGGGAGGTTCCCAGAGTGCTGAAGCAGATGTCACTGTCTAGAAAGTTCCACAAGACAGCTAAGTTCTTAGTAGGCTCAGTGGGCTCTTCCTGTCCACACAAAACAAACAAACAAAAACATTAATAGCACTCCATACCCCAGAGGAAACTTTAATGTCCCCAGAGCAGAGGCCAAATTGTCCCCGAGTTGTCTGTTAACTGAATGGATAGGAGGTGAGGAGATCCCACAAGACCTGTCCCATCCCCTTCCTCAGGGCCCAGGGCCTACGTTCTTCCACAGCTGAGGTTCCCTGACAGCACCCTTGCAATCCGTGAAAGCTACCTTGCTTGTGGCTGGAACCTGGACTCTACATCTGATCCACTCTTGTCCACAAGAGGGAGCCAGTGTACAGGCCTTGACCTCCCTTAGGGTGTGGGAAGTGGTTAGGCTGGAGCTGCCATTGGACCCAGAATTCTACTCGGCTCACATGGGTGTCCCATCTATCAGATACCTGTGGTCTTGTTTTGTTTGGGCAGCGGTAAGTTGGATAATCTTAATTTCACATTATCTACAGTGTAGAGAACACACAGGTTGTTCTAACTGCAGCAAAGTCTGGCTTTGCCTTTTCTGCAAAATTCTGCAGAATGGCCCAAGTTCAGAGTCTTTATCAGTGGGACCCAGGCCTTGGCAGGCCAAGTGCCTTGTCCAGGATCCCAGGGAGAGAACAGAAAGGCTGGTAGAGGCTGTTCTGTCTCCCCGTGACCTTCTGAGACACCCCTGGACAGTCTCCCAAGGTCCCTGTCCTTTGGTCTCTCAGGGAGAGGAGATGGCCCAACACAAAATCATCACTCACCTCAGACTATAGTGACTCCAGACTTGCAGGCTCAGCCCACTGGTCCTCTGAGCTGGCACGTAGTTATGGTCAATATCAAGGTCAACCTGGCAGTATAGAGAATCCCATGGGAGAGGGGCCTCTGGGCATGTCTGTGAGGGGTTGTCCTATTAATTGAAGTGGGAAGACTTGCACTCTATGGGCGGGACCATTCCCCAGGCAGCAGATCCTGGCTTGTATAAAGGGAGAGGGGAACTGAGCAGTAGCATACATGTGCACATTCTCTGCTGACCTGGACATAAGGTGACCCGCTGCTTCGAGCGACTCCTACCTTGACGTCACTGCCATGATGGAGTGTGGCTTGAACTTTGAGCTGAAATAAGCCTTTCTCCATTAAGTTGTCTTTGTCTGAGTATTTTATCACAGCGACAGAAAAAGAAACTAAGACACATACATCCACTCCACATAGAAAGGAGCCCCTGTGCTGTGTTCTGTGTAAAGTCACAGCCAATTCAAAGTGGAGACATAATTAGTTTATACAGGTGAGCTTTTAGGGCCTTTGCTGTATTCTGGGTCTCAGTGCAGTGCCTTGTCTTTTGTTTGTTTGTTGGGGGCGGGGGTGTGTGTGGTTCAAGACGAGGTTTGTCTGTGTAACAGTCTGACTGTCTTGGAACTCTGTAGAGCAGGCTGGCCTTGAACTTACAGAGAACCACCTGCCCCTGCCTTCTGAGTGCTAGGATTAAAGACATGTCACTCAGTGTTTTATTCTCTTGCTTCTCCTTCCTCAGTCACAAGTTTGGGAAAAAAGTCACCTACTGCAGCAACCTGCGTGAGCTCCGTGAACATCTTCAGTGCGACCAGCTGCTCATCCCCCCAGAAGTAGTGCGGTGAGGGTCCGCCCCCCTCCCCCAGCCCCTCACTCCCCCGCATGGCTCTGGGGTCTAGTATCCATGCACATGAGGGAGAGCAAGCCACGAAGGCTGCATATAGTGCAAGTACAAACTGATTAAAAACACATCCAGGCACGGGTTTGCCTTTCTGCTTCTGAGCCGGATATGAAAGGGGTTCCCTGGTGTGCCGGTGAGCCGTGTGTGGAATGAAATGTTCCAGGAGTGGCAGGCGCAGGGGCTCGGGAAGACAGCTAGCAGCGTTCCATTCAGCTCCTGATGAATGCCTCACTGAGTGTCTGGCAAGCCGGAACGCAGGGTCAATGAGCAGAGACACCCTGGCTTCAGGCGTTGGGTGCCAGGCAGGATGAGGCTCCCGAGCCTTGTCTTCACGTCTCTCTGAGGATGCAGCACCCTGCCCAGGATGCCTGAAACTTACAGAGATAGGACATGTGGGTTTCCTATCGATGCTGGTGGGGCTTAGTCTCCACATAGCACTTGGAGATGACTTCCATGGCTAAAAGACTGTCCCTCTGTGAGGTGACACTCTCCTGTTGTGTCCATAGGTATGACGAGAAGCTGCAAAACCTGCACAAAGGCCAGCCACCCCCGCCCACCAAGACACCACCACCTCGGCCGCCCCTGCCCACCCAGCAGTTTGGTGTCAGCCTGCAATAGTAAGTGAAGGATAGATACTCTGTTCTCCTGAGCAGTGGGAACCCTCTCTGTGCAGGGAGGCTGGCCCAGGCCTCTGCCTCCTGCCTACAGGAGCGATAAAGGGTCAAGCCCCCTCTGAGGCTGAGTGCCTGCTGCTCCACGTGTGCCTAAGCAGAGAACAAGAGCTTCTTGGTCACCCTTCAGGTCTGGCTCCCTGCTCTTCGGGCCTCTCCCGTCATCTTCCAAGTGAGACATGCTCATGGGACTTTGATCTTTGGTGGGTCTGTCATTTCCTACCTGCTTACTAGGTCAGCTTCATTCCTGTGCATCTTGGGCCCCTCCTCCAGAAGCCTTTCCCCGTACCCCATCACACAGCACCCCCAGCTACCCCCAATCCAAGTTCCTACGTGCTTCAGCCTCTGGGTCATGAGTTTGTCCCTCCTTGGGGGTCTCATGCCCAGGTAGCAGACCTGGCCAACTTAAATCCAAGGCAGTGTTTTATCCTAAAGCAGCTGAAGCCACCAGGGCTCCCACAGCACACTGAGGAAGAGCTGGGTACTTAATCACCTTGTGTTAGAAACTTACGTGAGGTTTGATATTCACTTAAAGCTCTAGCCACCTTAAGGGTCCATGAGGAGCTGGGAACCCTGGGAAGAGTTTAAGGGAAATCTGTTGGGGATTTAAGTTTGTCCATGTCCTTCCTGGGCTACCAGGACAGGATTCCTCATGTCCTCATGTGGGCTCTGGGATAAGACCCATCCAAATGCTCTCACAGTCTGCAGTGTGTGTGTAGAAAACAAAATATGCCCAGTGGATGTCACATCCTAACCCCCAGTACTTGTGACTGCAACTGGCTTGCAGGAAGAACTTTGCAGACGTGAGCAGTATCTTGAGATGGGGGCTATCTGGTACACCTTGGTGAGCCCAGGTTAGCCCCTTAGGGTTGTATAAGCAAGAGTCTGTAAAGCTGCAAAAATAAGGAGTATATCCTGGAGCCTTCAGGTACCAGCCCCACACCCATTCTAGACTTATGCTGTAAGGTAATTGTTTTAAGCTAAATAGTCATCACAGCCATCAGGAAGCAGGTCAAGGTGGTGAGGAGGCTGTTGCATGGTTCTGTACCTGTCAGCTAGGGAGGTGAGATAAAGCGGTGTTGAAAACAGAAAACAAGAATAGCGTGCAGATTCATACATTGTGTGTGTGCCTGAGCATTGTGATTGGGAACCTGTTGGTGACTGTCATTGGTCTTGCAGCTCTACTGTGTGGCTGAGTTTGGAGGGGAGACTTGGTTTTTATTTTATGTGTGTGGGTGTTTTGCCTGTATGTGTGTCTGTGCCCCATGTATGAGCCTGTTTCCCACAGAGGCCAGAAGAGCATCAGATCGCCCGTAACCAGAGTTATACAGATGGCTGTGAGATGCCATGTAGGTGCTGGGAATCAAACCTGTGTCCTCTACAAGAATAGACGTGCTTGTAACTGCTGAGCCATCTCTCCAGCCCCTGAGAGGGGACTACTTTTGTTCACCTCCGATGGGAGAGATTGACAGGCTAAGGAGGGGGTTCTGCCCAAGTCTAGTCTCCAGAGTGCATTGATGGATTCATTCATGGGAGCATAGGTGACTCAGGCAGCTACATCACTGAGAAGCCCCACACCCCAGCATTCCTGGACCCCCTTGTGGATTTGCAGACAGCTAGCTCCAAGAGGCTCCCCTTCCTAGCAGTAGCTCACTGGTTTATATAACCTCATACAAGCCTCCTGTGTCTTGTAAGTTTCTGGTGAGTGTCATGAGCCTTGTGAATTTCCCTCCTCCCTCTCCCCTTTCCTCCCCGCTCCAGGAGGAGATGTGTCTTTATGAAGCAAACAGCTGCACAACCAGGCCACCTGGGACACTTTTGGTGACTTGAGCATTTGCAGGATATGTTGACACAGAGTTGTCAGTGGACAGGAGGCTGCTGGGACTGTCACATGACTAGAGTTATTTCTGTTCCAGGGCCAGTTACTGATTTTAACAAACAAGGGGAGCTGGGGTGCAGCTGGGTGGTAGAGCAATTGCTTGCCTAGTACGTGTTACCACTGCGGCCACTCCAACACCACACAGGAAAATCCACTTCATTATCTCTTTAGGGAAGAGCAAGCAACATCAGATGCCTTTGAGTACATTCCGGGCACGCCACTTTAAGACATAATCTGTGTGATTGCTTCTTTAAATTAATATTTTATGCTGTCTCATTGCCAATGACTATAATAAAATGGCAATAAACGTATTAAATAAAGCACCAGATATGTAATTTGTTTGGACTGTGAATGAATGGAAGACATTAAAATTCATAACCAAAGCCTATGCGCCAATGTTAATTTGCTGATTTAAGTTCACGACAGAAAGCCATCCGTTGGAATGAGCCGCTTAAGCCAACAGAGGAAGGCAAAGTCAGGGAGTCAGAGATCTCCTGGCTCAGCCAGGGCTGGGAGGCACTTGCTTAGCATATGCAAAGCCCTGGGTACCATCCCAGCACTGCAGAAATAAAGGGGCTTGCTTGCCATCCTCAGGGAGGGAGAGAGGGAAGGTGTGAGTCTCCTCTGAGAGCCTGCGGATCTGGGAAAAGAGGATGAGGTGGGCCAAGCTCTCCAGGTTTGAGAAGTCTGGGCTACTGACTTTACACCTCTCAGTTTCTTTCTCTATGTCTAGGGGTGAGCTACTAACCCTGCCCAAGAGCCTTGTGACCATGGGCCTTGCCACAGAGCATGCAGAATATGTACCTTCACTAGCCCCTCCTCCAGGGAGCCTTCCCTGATGGCTCCACACAAACTAGGATGTGTGAGCCTCCTCCTCCCTGACACCACCCCCGCTTCCTCTACCTGCCCCTCAGAGTGGGATTTAGTGTCCAGATGCAGGACTGACCTACATGTGCATCTAGGAACGGTCCAGGCCTGGAATATTGGGTAAGCCTTCCCTTTTCTAAGTGTGCAGTGCTGCGTGAGTTAGGCTTATCACATCCATGGGCAACTGCTACCATTGTCTCCTCCCAGAACATTCCGACCCCATCTGTGGCCCTTCTTGCCTCACAAGCCCCTCACAGACACGAGCCCACTTTCCATCTCCAGATTCTAGACATTTCAAGTAACTGGAACCACGCCACACGTAGCTGCTTTTAGCTGGATCTGCCTGGAGTCATTTTGGGGCTCATACTAGATTCTGTTTTGTTCTCTAGCAGTTACTGAACATGTTGCTTGTTTCTACCTATTCCTTATTGTGTATAATGGTGGTCTGAAGATTTACATGCAAGATTGTGAGTTTCTGAGTTTTCTGTTCTCTTGAGTCTACAGCTAGAGGGCGAATCACCTGCTTCCCCAGTGTGGGGATTATAAGCACATTCACCTGCCTGGCTTTTTATGCGGTTCCAGGGCTTAAACTCCAGGCCTGTGTGCTTGCTTGTACATCGGGCTTTACCTGTGCACCATCCTCCAAGCCCTGCGTCATGCTTTGTTGATATCCCGAGAGTATCTGACCTGCTGCCTTGTGACTGACCTAGTGGTGGGAAGTGGGCTGCCCTGGACCCTGGTTCTGTGCTGTGTGTGTTGGCCTAACTTACCGAGTCTGCAGGCTGTGGTACAAGCATCCCTGGAAGCCAGTGTGTTAGATGGAACTGCTCTTCCCGGCAGGGCAGTGAGGCATAGCAAGAGGCTTATGGGTCACAGGCTCCAACCACATGAGTAGACCTGGACATTCTCTCTAGTGAGTTCCTTCTGGTGAAGCATATAGGTAGGAAACCCCTTATGCTTTTTCCTCTAGTGTGCTCTGTCCCCTTCTGTCACATTATGATATGTAAGAAGTCTTGGCCAGGAGCCCAACAGATGTAGGGACCCCTGCACTTGAATGTCCTGTCGCTGGAACTATAAGAAAGAACTGTATTTTATTTATAAATGGTACAGTGTCAGGGATTTTGTTATAATGACAGAATAAGAAATAGGCTCTCTACCTCAGTTGAGTTTCAAGACAATTATGAAGCCTTTTTTTTTTTTTTTTCGAGACAAGGTTTCTCTGTGTAGCTCTGGCTGTCCTGGATCTCACTCTGTAGACCAGGCTGGCCTCGAACTCAGAAATTCACCTGCCTCTGCCTCCCAAGTGCTGGAATTAAAGGCGTGCACCACCACTGCCCGGCATATGAAGCCATTTCTAATTGCCCATCCAGAGAGGGCTGACTCCGCAGATATGAAACCCCACATTTCTGAGCCCTGCTGTCCTGTAAGTTCCCAGCTCTCTCACTGACTACAGATGCCCCAACTCAAAAAAACAAGCTGTAGTCTGTGCCTTTTGTGCATATGCTTTTAATCCCAAAACCCAGGAGGCAAAGGCAGATGGAACTCTGTGAGTTCAAGGCCAGCCTACTCTACATAGTGAGTTTAAGGACAGCCATGGCTATGTAGAGAGGCCCTGCTTCAAAAAAAAATGTGTGTGTGTACTATATATTATAATATATATCATATATACATTGTGTGTATATGTGAGAGTTTGTAGTACCCTTGGGACCTAGTAAAGGGCATCAGACCCCACCCCCAGAGTTAGAGTTACAAACAGCTGTGAGCTGTGAGTTCAGTTAGGAGCTGAACTCACCTCCTCTAAGTAGGAGAGTGTGTACTATTAACCCCTGAGCCACCTCTTAGCCTGACTTCAACCCTGCATGTACCCACATCAGGCAGTGTGACTTATTGTAAACCAGTTCAACTCTGAGTTTCAGTTTCTCCTCGATAAAAATGGGGATGAAATATTGCTGCCACCAGACTCTCAAAGACACATGAGGCATAGCAGCGACCACCAATCCGTCGGCACTGTCCAGCTGCCTTGGCATCTGGGACCTCCCTGGCTGACCCTGTGGCCAAGGGGCTTTGTGGGCACTGTGGCCGTTCCTCCTCGTCTTGGGGATTGGACAACCATTTCAGAGGTCTGGCGTAGGCTCGAGAGACAATGACTGTCTTGGAGGGCTGGAGAAGCTAGCGCCCTGGGACAGACCCAGACACTCACACTGCCTGCAAACAGCCAACCACTTTCATTGCACTGACTCACTCCCCTCCCCACCCCACACTTCCCCGTTTGTGCATTCATCACACGCAAGGCATGCAAAAGTAGGAAAAGCCTGCTCTGACTGATGCCAAGCCCTTCTCCCAGGGGACAGGTGTAGTTCATGAGCCGATCCTCCCCAGTGCCTTCCGGGCAGATGGCTGGACATTGCTGTCTCCCAGGCCGCTTAGGAGGGTGCCCTTGGCCCTTCAGCTCAGGGGATGGATTTAATGTGCCCCAAGCATCTTTACAAAGACCTGACCCTGCCCAGTGCCATTGAGGTGCTCAGGAGGGACTTGGCGGAACATTCCCCCATTGCCCTGGGCATACCCGCCCAGGCAGGAAGTGAGTGGGCCCATCTGCTCTCCTGCCTGGGATAATTGTTATTCTTAGCACTGACTTTACAAGTCCATGGAACAAGCCTCTCTCTGGGTCACCAAGTAAAGGCTTGGGACTTTGGGGTATTTACAGAGACTCAGAACTGGGGGTGCCCTGTGTTTAGCAGCGACTTCTGGTCAGGTCCCTGGTTGCTGTGAACCCTGACAGATAGAGGTAGAGCACTGCTCCTTAGATCCACAGACTAGTGGACCCAAGACTGGAAATTTTTCTCCCCTAATGGAGCCTGGGTTTTCTCCGCCGACAGAGGAGGTGGGGTTGAATGGTCCCAAAGGCTCTGCCCACCCGAAGGTCTGCTTTAAAGTGCAGCAGAGCACCAGGCGAAGTCTTTAGCGGCTCAGCCTTGTCCCACATGTTGAGCAGGACTCTCCAGGAATGATGGCCAGCCTGCTCTTTTCTGTGCAACCCGGACAGTCACCTCAGGTTGCCGGGTCCACTTGTTTCCCTCTGCCATGGGCCATTTGTGTTCTGCTTGGGGACACCACTCAGTCCTGGCATGAGAAGGATTTCTATTACTGATACCATTGCCTTCCTGATTAACAATACCCCTGCATCCCCAGAGGATCTGTCAGCACCCCGCCTTTCCAAAACTGGGAGACTGGGGCTCAGGAGGGTACGGGACTGTCTGGCAAGAGCACAGTTCTGGGGAAGGCTGGCACGGGCCATCAGGCTCCCTAGAAAGCAGCGGTGTGGCTCCTGCTGTCCTGTTCCTCCCTCCCCAGGGATACCGCCTCCTTGCTGACAGCTGGCAACTAGGAAGTTGACGTGGGACAGACTAGGAGGGTCCTATCCATCCCTGGGCCTCTCCAGAGGCAGGGCCAGCCGCATGGTGACTGTTCAGGGTCCTATGTGTGTTTCTCTTTAGCAGAGAGAAAGATCTCTGAGGAACCAAACCACGAACAGGGTCAGGATGCATGGAGACCATTGCTTCTGTGACATGAGCATTGAATGTCGAACTGAACCAAGTGTTTAAGGTCTGTCCCTAACATCCCAGGACAGCCCGCATGGGGACAGAGTAGGTTTTGCTGACTGTTTGCACAGTAACAGGATTACCTTGGAGGACGTTACATGTGTGTCACCCTGACGATTCCCCAGCCAGGCCTGGAGACAGGTCTCCTATCACACCCACTTAACAGAAGGGGAAATGGGGACTCAGGAGGTCAGTGCTGGGTTTGGCTGGTAGAACCAGGGTCGCCACGTACAATCCATTTTGGCTCTGCTGTCAATTGAGCAAGTCAGGTAACCAATCTGTACCTCAGTTTCCCCATCCAAGTTCCAGTCAGCCTAAAGAATTCATCTCACTTTCATGAAACAGAGTAGGTGCTTTCTGTATTTATACCTGTCCTGGTATCCAGTGTCGCAACCCACCTTCCTCTTCAGGGGACCCTGAAGGCCTTCCCTGCAGTTTTTGGGCCTAGCCTCACAAGCAGCAACTCTGTATCAGTCAGCTGTAGCTGGTGATGCCGTGTAACAAGTAGTCTCACTCCGAGCATGTTATAGCAATAGGCTTCTTTCCTGGGTTCCATGTAGTATGTGGAGCAGCTGGGGTTCAGCTCAAATTTGTGTGTCTTATTATTTTTGACATGCAGACCAGAGGAGCGGCCCCCACCTGGGACATCTGTTATCCCTGGGGCAAGGGGGTGGGGCAGGAGCAAGTATAGTCCAGTCAGGGGGTCACACAAAACATGTGTATTGTGTCTGTTTATGTCCCACAGTAGCTTGTGTGGGCCAGCCTATGAACAGTGCACAGAGAGGCAACTGCCCTGCAAGTGACGGTGACACAGAGACACTTATCCTAAGACACTGCTACTCCCTCCTCTGAGGTCCCCAGGCAGCACTAGATGCTGAGGATTCAGACTCTGCATCGAGTCCTTCTGTCTGTCTGCTGTCGCTATATCTCAGGGCCCATGTTTTTATCAAGTACTTCTGCTTCGTTTTATTTTTTTTGAGACAGGGTCTCTGTAGTCTTGGCTGTCCTGGAACTCACTATGTAGGCCAGGATCTGCCTGCCTCTGCCTCTCAAGTGCTGGGATTAAAGGCATGTGTCACCAGGCCCAGCAAGTACTTTTTAAGATTAAATGAGCACCTAGTCTAGTCTACTGGGTCTATACTCACAGTTAGATATTTATCTATCTTCTTGACTGTAATACTTTTTTGTCTGGCAAGCTCCTACTCATCCCTCAAAACCCTGCCTTGAAGTAGACTCCAGCATTCCCCCACACCATATTCTGCGTGGAGTTCCGGTACTCTGTTGTCCTTCCAAAGTTTGGACACTCATGGCTGCTTCATGGAGGCTGAAGCTGTGTCTCTCCATGGAGACTCCTTGATGTTGTATCTTCTCTGGAATGAGGAATCTGAGAGCCTTCCCCTGGCCATGCCCGCCATCAAGGTCTGGAATGAATAAACCATTAATAAGAATGGATACATTCTTCTCCCTCAGCCTCAGAGACAAAAATCAAGGTGAACTCATCCCTCCTGTGCTGCGTTGGACAGTGACATATCTGAGAGAAAAAGGTAAGGAGGTGCCTCTGGCTGGGACACTCAAAGGGACTTCATTTCAGCTCCTGAACACACCAAAAGTATATGGGTGTATATGCCCTGTGGCTTGGAAGGCAGAAAAAAGCATTGCAGGTGCAAAGGCCCTGTGGTCACCTGGGTATGGGTGCATGAGTATGGGTCTATGGGAAAGCTAGGGAGGAGAAGCAGGAGTTACTAAAAGGCTGCCCAGTGTCCCCATGTGCTGTTCTTGGGCCCAACTTCCTCTCCTGGCTGTGAAGTCAGCAGGGGCCTGCCGGGAAGGCAGCCAACTGGTGATGTTGGGTAGAAGAAAGGCTGAGTATTTTCTCCAGGCTGAGTATTTTCACAAAGCTGTTAGGAGGCAGAGGCAACTGGTCACAGGCCTGTGTGTTTCTGCACACCCTTCTCTTAGAGCAAGAGGGAGGGACTGGAGTTGGGACATCAGATGGAAAAGCCTGACCCGTCACCACAGGAGGTTGATGCCACAGACAGGGGAGTCAGAACCTTGAAAAGCCCAGAGTGCAGGGAGCTGTGGTGTTCAGTCTCTTCTTCCTGTAGGACTGCGCACTGAGGGCCTGTTCCGGAGATCAGCCAGCGCCGAGACTGTCCGCCAGGTGCAGCGGCTCTATGATCAAGGTGATGCCCCAGGCCCCTACCTCCTGTCAGAGTCCCAATTGCCATCCCCCTAGTCCTTGGGTGTAACTCAATACCAACCTAACCCCAGAAACAGGTCTGGGTGGGGCTGCTGCCCAGGAACCCTAACCACTGCAGAAGGAAGGGTCCTGTGTCTAGACTCCAGCCTGCTAGGCCAGGTACTGCCCCAGTTCTCACTGCCTACACGCCTTCTCCACTGACTCCAGGTAGCCACATGGTTCGAACTAACACTGCAAAGTAGAGACATCAATCATCTTAGGGTTCTCCGAGGCAGGCCCCACCCTGCAAGCAGAGAGCTGACATCTGAGCTGGGAGCACCCCCAAAATAACACTAAGCAAGCAGCTGTCTTGCTCCCAGGGGCACTTGCTCTTTAGCTCTGCTTGAGTCAAGCACCCCCTTCCTGTGACCGCATGCCCGGTCATCAAACAGTAGCTCCCTGCCAAGTGGTCCAGAGTCCTGTGTGTGCAGCCCCAGAGCCAAGGCCCTGACCTTGGAGTTCAAACCTCCATACGAGGCAAAACCACAGGGAACCCTAGCTGACTCCGTGGGCACCCTAAAAGAGGGATACGATAGCAATGAGAGGGAAGATGGTGGGGAAAAGCACCCCAAAATCCAGGTGGCGACTGTGGCATCTCAGGGGCACGTGGCTGTGGCCTATACCTCCTCCTCAAGTTGCTGAGCCATGGGCTGAGTGAGGTGTTTAATCACCACATCCTGTCCTGTGTTCAGGGAAGCCTGTGAACTTTGATGAGTACGGAGACATGCACCTCCCAGCCGTGATCCTCAAGACATTTCTTCGAGAGCTGCCCCAGCCGCTACTGACCTTCCAAGCCTACGAGCAGATTCTCGGGATCACCAGTATGTACCCGCTTGAACCCTAGCCTCAGCGTGTCCCTGGTTACAGTCCTGGGTCAGCCTTGGTTTCGGCTGAGGCAGTGTCCACCCAACCTTGGTCCCTGTGGGTCAGCAGAGAGGAGCATGGACCCACCCCTCTATTCATTCAGTGAGGCTGTAGGCTTAGCCATGGTGTCTGTGGAGTGGAGGAGGGGAACCCTACCTTGTCTGGTGGTCCTACCCTGGTGGCTGCATGTCTCCTTCAAGTGAAGTGTGCAGGCCCTTCCTGGGAGCCCTGTGGAAGACACGAGCTTCTTGAAGGCTGTAGTCTCCGCAGAGGCTGGTGAGCTCTCTCCGGGGTATTTAGGAGAGTCATCGCACCAGTCTGGAGCTGACCATGCCTCAAGCTGTGGCTTTTCCAGTTGCCAGTTAGTTGTGTGACTTGGGGCAAGTCATGCAGCTCCTCTGAGCTCACTTCTCTCACGTGCGTTCTCCGGGGCTCAGTGGATGGAGCGTTTGCCTGGATCCCACCCCCAGCACCAAATAAAGTAGGCATGGGGCTATGGAGACCTAACTCCAGTACTTGGAAGGTAGAGGTAGGAAGTTCAGGTCATCATTGGCTCAAAACAAGTGACACCATGCTCAGCTGGCTGCTGTCAGAATCAGTGTCCTGGCATTCGGCTGCTCTGCCTGCTTCCTGGGGAGGGTTTCAAAGAGACCACCATGATCGCCAAGGTGCTCTGCATCCCTCCCATGTCCTCTCTGTGACTGTCATTCTAAAAAGAGGAGCCTGACGCTGTATCATCTGCAGTCCAGGGCTGGCGGCCCCTTCTTTCCCTGGAAATGTGAATCCTAGGCAACTCCTTGTCCACTGAGATTACTGAAGCAACCAGCTCGGTTCCTCGAGACAACGGCTTTTATTAAAAAGCCCTCCAGCTTTTCATAGACAGGAATCCTGTGTCCTGCCAGGAACATTCATACAGTTCCAGGGTCTTCTGGTCACTGCACGGGCTCAGTGGAAGGACAGCGTGATGTGTCAGAGGCTGGGGACTCAGGAACAAGGTCACATGCACACCACTGTGTTCACCCACATCTCAGGGAGCTGTGTAAATACTTTTTATGGGTGTTTTGTTTTTTGTTTTTGTTTGTTTTTTGGTTTTGTGTGTGTGTGTGTGTGTGTGTGTGTGTGTGTGTGTTGTTTTGTTTTGCTTTTAAGACAGGGTTTCTCTGTGTAGCCCTGGCTGTCCTGGAACTCATTCTGTAGATCAGGCTGGCCTTAAATTCAGTGATCCATCTGCCTTCCTCTGCCTCCCAAGTGCTGGGATTAAAGGCGTGTGCCACCACCTGGCTCCTGGGTGATTTTAAAAATCAAGTTGTTTCAGCTGGAACCACTGAGCAATTTGCCCTGTTTCTTTTTAAAAATTGGTCTCAGAAATGGTCTCACTATGGAGTTCAGGCTGACCTTGAACTCATAATCCTTCTGCCTCAGCTTCCAAGTGCTGGGATCACAGGCTTCTGCAATCACACTTGACTTTAGTTTTTACTCCAAGGCTATAGCTCAAATGGAGGCTCTGAGGATGTAATTAGTTGGTACGGTGTCTGCCTAGCAAGCACAGAGCTCCCGACTCCATCCCCAGCACTGCATAAACCAGGCAGCGAGGCATCCGTCTGTAATCCCATCACTTGGGAAATGGAAGCGGGAGGCTTAGAAGTTCAAGGGTATCCTTAGCTACATAGTAAGTTTGAGGTCAGTATGGGCATGGGAGAATCTGTCTCAAAACTCAAATGGAGGACAACCGAGGGAACTGAGAGTCTATGTGTGAAACAGTTACATCCAGTCCTCCACGTCCACACTGAAAGTGGGTTTTTTCCCAGGCACAGCACAGTGGTCTATGTACACTGAGAATCACAGATAGGTGCCTTTGTCTTAGAGGAGGCCAGAGAGTAAACGCTGAGCCTTCCCCAGCCATGGCAGCTGCTGGCTCCATCCTTGTAACCCATAAGCAGCCCTAGGCAATGTGTCAACACACAGCCATGGTTGTGTTCAAGGAAAATATTACTGAGAGCTGGCATGGTGGTGTACGCTTCTAAAGCCAGCACTTGGGAGATAGAGAGAACAAACAAAAAGAGAGAAACTTGCTGGGCCAGATGTGAACTGCTGCCTGTGTGTAGATTACTGGCCCCGGACTAGTCGTTTGCTGTTTGCTGAGTGACTCACTGCCCTGCTTCCCAGCAGGCCGCAATTTCTGTAGCCATCACATAGAGGAGGAAGGAGCCAGGCAGAAGTACTAGGGTCTGAGCAGAGTCACATGGCCAGGCTGTCCTTGGAACTGTGCTACCCCGGCCAGCAGCCTCATATCATTGCAGGTGTGGAGAGCAGCCTGCGGGTGACCCACTGCCGCCTGATCCTGCGGAGCCTCCCAGAACACAACTATGCCGTCCTCCGCTACCTCATGGGCTTCCTGCATGAGGTAAGTGCAGCTAGCCGCCTCCCAGGAGAAGGCAGGCCAGCCCCAAGCTGGGCCTGGGGACCTCTTGACAGCAGTCCCTGCATAGACTGGTCCTGTTTGCCTCAGGTCCAAAGTCACAGCCAACTCTACTCTTTATTGCTAAAGGACTTCCCTCAAGGCCCAGCCAGGCTCCTCTGAGAAGCCCGACAGTCTGATGCAATGCCCAGGGATGAGAGCCAGGAGGGACAGAGGGGCTAGTGTGTTGTATGATGTCACATTCTTGGTTTTCCATATGTGGTGTATATGTGTGTACATGTTCATGTGTGTGTGCATGGATAAACATGTGTGAGTATACATGTGGAGGTCAAAGGTCAATATCAGAGGTCTTCCTCATTTTTTTTGGTGACAAAGACTCTAACAGACTTGGAGTACACTTATTCAGTCAGCCATTATCAGCTGGTCAGTTAGCAGTGAGCTGGGATCTACCTGTCTTTACACTCCCGTACCCCAGTGCCCAGATTAAAGCTGTGTACCACCATGCTCTTTTTTTTTTTTTTTTTTTGTGGCTGCTGGGAATTGAACCCAGGCCCTGTGGCACATAGTTTAGTTACTGAGCCATCTCCCCAACGGCCTTCTACTGTACCCCCACATTCACAAGCATTTCTGTCTCTCGCTGTTGTCTGGTTACTTTACACACAAGCAGGGATGCACACAGCCCCTCTTACTGGAGAAGGAATTCTCTGTGAGCTGGTCTTGTTCCCATGCAAGGACTCAGCAGCAGGCCTTCTTTGCCCTCAGGGCTCAGTTTCCTTATCTAGAAAGTGGGGAGTACTGAATCCTACCTATCCGGGTGGCTGTGTCAGCCAGGAGGATGGGAGCCCCCAACGTAGAAAGCGCTTTTCTCTCACAGGACCTGAGCTCAATTCCCCAACCACATCACAGAAGCCAGAGGGTGTCTGCTTTAGATCTTCAGTGCTGGGTACCCCACCTCAACCCAGCCTGCTAAGTGGAGGAGTTGCTGATGGGGTGCTCTGGCTATCCTAGATGGTGGAATCAGAGGGTCCCCACAGAATCAAGGCCAGAACCTTTTATAGATGGGAAAACTGAGAAACTGAGAACCCAAGTGGAGGCGTGGCCACACAGAATTCTGATACTGGCTGAAGCCTCCATTCCAGAATTCTTATATTTACTTGTCTGTTTATTATTTGTGTGTGTGAGAGCACTCATGTATGTCTATGCATGTGTACACATGCTACAGCACGCACACACAGAGGTCAGAATATAGCTTGCAGGGAGCAGGTTCTCTCGGGCCACAGATTGGTGGGTCCCTCAGATTGCTCGACTCTGCAGAAGTTACCATTACCCACTAAGCATTCTCAATGATTCTATTGGTTTTTGTGATGGGGTCTCTCACTGACCTGACACTGTGCTTGGATTATTCTGGGGTTCAAACTCAAGCTGGTGTGGCAAGCGCTTGATAACCAGTGCCATCTCCCCAGTTCACCTGGCCCCCTCCAGAACTCTTTCCACCACACTGGACCCCCAGGGGTATGGATGGAACCATCCAGAGCTCTCTCTACACACCACTCTCCCTAGGAGGTGAGGGTGGAGTCCAGACTGCCAATTCCCCGGGGGTTCATTTCTTGGGTTTCCTCTTCCAGGTATCTCTGGAGAGCATTTCAAACAAGATGAACAGCTCTAACCTGGCGTGTGTGTTTGGGCTGAACTTGATCTGGCCGTCTCAGGGGGTGGCTTCCCTGAGTGCCCTGGTACCTCTGAACTTGTTCACAGAACTGCTGATAGAGTACTGTGACAAAGTCTTCAGTGCCCAGGAACCCCCTGGGGAGCACACCCGGGACACTGTGGAAATGCAACAGGCTGGCCCTGTTCCCAAAGAATCCACGAAGACAGGTACTCCCCGGGCCTCACCATACCTGTCACGCCTCCGTATCCCCTGACTAGCTGGAGACACCTCAAGATGGAGATTGGAATTGCCCCCTTCCAATCTATGCATCTGTATACCTGTTTGTCTTATGAGCTTACTGTCTTTAAGAAGATACAGGAATTAAATGAACCCAGAACTTTCTAGTAAGGATTTTGTGCTTCTGATTGTTGGGTCCATCACATATGTCTGAAATGACATGCATGCATGAGGGTAACACTTCCGAACCATAACTAAAGGGAAATGTGGATTTGTTGGCATGGGGCCTGGAGCAGTCACTGTTGGCTGCGGTGCTATGTGACAGGCCACCCAACGCAGTGACTCACACAGCTGTAGACTGGCCACATTCCCTAGGTTACCTGACAGTTCAAGGGTCCTTGGGAACACACATGACCGGGGCTGGGCTGGCTATCATCTGGGGAAATTCAGCTGTCTGGCCAATTACTCCTATCCTCCAGCAGGGGGCATGGTGTCTTGGGCTGAGGTGCCACACAAGGTTTGTATGATCTCTGAGATCATGGGACAGCAATGCTCAGGTCCTGGTGGAGAAGGATGTCCACCGCCAAGCCTGTTGGCCACAGGGAAAAGACGAGCATTGTTGACACTTCCAAACAGGAGTGGAACTGTTATTTGGCATCCAGCCTGTCAGAGGCCTCCAGGTTTCTTGGCTTCAGACAGACTGTCCCCTCAGGGTTGTAGAATGGGCCCTTGACATCATCAAATACAATGCAGCAAAGTCCCCTACAGAAAGTTCCATACGTTATTCTGATTGGACAAAGCTTTGGTCACGTGCCCATCCTGGACCAATCACTGTGGCCAGAGGATGCACCACAGGGCATCCTTGTGATCCTTGGATCACAGGCTTCCTCCCGGAATCGGGGTCATTCACAACTAACAGCCACCACTGGGATGGCCGGGTGCCAGCTGCCTTCACACTCTGTTGCAGACAGAAGGGGATGGATGCTGAGGACAAAAGCCCACCCTAGATAGTTGTTATCAGTTCCTCCAGGCCTGGATGGGAGCTGCCCCACACTGTGGAGTGACTTCAGTGCCTGTCCAACAAGATGGGAAAGGAACGGGAACAGGAGCCGTAGGCTGTGAGAACTTCTCACAGGGCAGATTAGGAAGTAGAATTGAAACAGGAAGGAAGTGAGGTCAGACTAGAGCCTCACAGTCCCCTTCTGGATGACCCACTTCCTCCTCTCCTAAAGTTTACAGAACCTTCTACAACATTGCCAGAAACTGAGGACCGCGTTTAAACCGTATGAGCCCGTGGAGGACATTCTGCACCCCTGAAGGGTGCCAGCATCTCTCAGTAGCTAACACTGCCAGGCTCCATAGAGGGTGGAGACCTGCCTGGGAACTGGGGCCCTGCTAATTGTCATTCTGGCCCAGACAATATCGCTAGCTGCTCAGTGGTCCTGCAAACAGCCGACTTCTGAGCATGGGTATTGGCTGACCATGCAGGGCGGCTCCCTCTCCAATAGACAACTGTTGAAATATTCCCTCTTCTACCCCAGAGATACAGAGGACACAGAGGAATTGAGCCCAACTTAAAATGATTTCCTGCTGTGAACTAGGGGTGAGTCTGTATCCTCGATCATATTCCTAGCCCACAAGTGAGACTCCAAAGACCCATGAAAGTAAGATGTACCCACGCACAGAGCCAAGCTGTTGAAAAACACCACGGCCCAAATTAACTTCAGCTTACAGATTACAGTCCCTCATGAAGGGAGGTTGAGGCACAAACCCAAGGTAGGAACCTGGAGGCAGCACCTGAGGCAGTTGACACAGGAATGCTGCCTACTGGCTTGTTCCTCGTGGCTTTCTCAGCTTGCTGTCATAGCACCCAGGATCATCTGCCCAGGGCACTGCTGATACCGGGCTGGGTACTCATAGGTCAACCATCAATCAAGAAAATGCCCCATAGATTTGTCTACAAGCAATCTGATAGGGGAATTGTCTCAATTGAGATTTCTCTTTCCAGATGACCCTAGCTTGTGACTGAACCCATGTTGGCTTCTGCTTTGCTCCTTTTAAGGGGGAAAAAAAAAGAGATGAAGGGAGATTCTGAGCTTGCTCTTCCCATCAGGACAGTGTGGGGCTTATACGGCAGGTGCCCTTCCATCTCTGCAAACTGTAGCTCTGTGGCAGTCTGCAGGCCTGAGCTAGAGCCACAGCCCTGCCTCGGCGGGCGTGGTCAGCCTCAGCAAATTTGGTCTTTTCTGTCTGATTCTTGCCTGAGCATGGAGCAAAGAGAAAGCCGAATGCTTAAAACATGAGAGTTGTTAGGGATTTGGATGGGGGAAGTCACTCAGTCCTGCAGATCTGGAGGGCGAGCTTGTAGATGACAGTGTATCACACCACAGAAAGGCTGGACGCTGATAGATTGTGGAGATTAAAGAAGATTTGTCTTCCTGGTGGCCATTGCTGCTGGTCAACACTGTCACTCCTCTGCTGCCAGCCTAAAGTGGCCCTCAGTTGAAGTATCCTGAAAAAAAAAATGCCCTGCCTGTGTTCAGGAGCTCGAGCCTGACCCAACTCTGGTGTTGAGAAAGTCCTTGGTGCCCTTGGCTGATTCTCTACACTCCCTCCTCTCGCCCCTAACCAGGCTCCAGTCACATGTGTCAGGGGCCCCACTTCTCATCACGCTTTGTGTAGTGTGCTCTCTGCTTTCTGCTGTTCTGTCTTTCCTAGTCACCAGAAGCCACATGCATTCTCCTGGGCTTCATGACACTCATGGCTAGCACTTCTTCTCCTTCTCCTTCTCCTTCTCCTTCTCCTTCTCCTTCTCCTCCTCCTCCTCCTCCTCCTCCTCCTCCTCCTCCTCCTCCTCCTCCTTCTCCTTCTTCCTCCTCCTCCTCCTCTTCTTCCTCTTCTCCTCTCCTTATTCTCCTTCTCCACTCCTCCCCTCCTCCCCATCTCCTTCTCTCCCTCCTCCTCCTTTCTTCTTCCTCCCCTCTTTCTTCCCAACTCCTCCTTTTCCTCTCCTCCCCCTCTTCCTTTTCTTCTCTTCCCCCTCCTTCTCTTCTCCTCCCTCTCTCCTCCCCCTCATCTTCTTCCAGTATCCTACAAAGCCTTTCTTTTTCCTCTTGTTTCTCTTACTTTGCTTTCTTTATTTCTTTTTTCTATTTCCTTTTATTTTCCTTCTTTTCTTTTCTCATTTTTTCTTTCTCTATCTCTCACTTTCCTTCTTTCTTTCTCCCCCTTCTTTCTTCCTCTCCATTTCCCTCCTCTTTCTCCTCCCTCTCCCCTCCCTTTCTTCTTTCTGACAACCCCAACCCTTCCTCTCTGACTCCAAACAGTCAAACAAAGTGGGCTTCCAGCATGGCTCAGTATGGCCCCTGAAGCAGCCAGCCCCCTTGTCCTGGTCGTAGCCTCTGGAAAGGCCACTGTGTGTCTGCACCACCCCCCTCCATGGCGTCTGTGCTCACAGAATGCTGAATAACCCCAAAGGGTCTCAGAGTTCTGCTGCCAGGGAGAAAGAAAGAAAGAAAAATGATGGCTCCCTTAAGAGCCCGCCATTGTGAGCCCCGAATTAACAATGACATTAAATCAAGCCTCATGCATTATGCAGTGGGGTTTACAGGGAAATGCATGTCTGTGAAATATATGTTTCAAATTTCCTGACTTGGAGAGGTGCCCCAAGATGGTCTCCTGCCGCTCCTTTGATAACAGTTTCTCTTCACAATTGGTAATTGTGGAATCCTAGCCCAGCGCTGCGTGGCCCTGTCACCTTCCCGTGTCTCAGTACAATTTTCCGATCGTTCCCACAGCAAAAGAAAGTGATTATGGCGGTCACATGTAGGAAGCACATGACATGTCCCAGCTTAAAATAATGCCAACAGAGCCTGCATGAGGACTCCAGGGTGTCCCCATCGCCTGGACACACGGGACAGATAGATTATCCAAGCATTCACTTTTGCAGAGATGACAAAGATTTCCAGTGACTGCAGAGGTTCGGCAGGCTGCCCGGAACTTGTGGTTGACATTCACGGAAAGAATGAATTCACAGAACAAACCACAGATACCTCCCCAGACCCATGCATGTTAGAGTCCGTGATGGCGGGAGATGTCTGGGAAGGAAAATGAAAGTCACTCATTGATGACTGAAGCACAGAGTGCTGCAGACGCTGACTGAAAGAACACTCGGTGAGCTTTGGAAATCAGCACTTTGTCTAGGAATGACCTGGAAGAGAATCAGAACATTGTTGCGCGTAGATGCCGCTGGCTTGGCTATCAGGAAGAGCAGATAAGTTGAGATGTGTCACCAGCGTGACTGAAGAGTAGCCTGCATTTAATATGGCCAGAACTGACCTGTATGTGTTGATTTGGATCACAGTTTCCCCTGGTGATCATCCGCACTCATCAACATGGTCACACCTCTGTGGCACATAAGCTGGCAGGAGTACATCGCCCAAGGTCACCTCTGCAAGCCCACGCCAGCTCATCGCCAAATGGTTTCATAGACACTGAAGCAGAAGTAGTTATTACAGACTGAATGGTGGGTGGTGAGGGGTGGCCCAGTGGATAAAGGAGCTTGCCAGAAAGCCTGGTGCCTGGAGTTTAGTACCTGGGACTCACATGGTGGAAGGAAAGAACTGCCTCTCACAAGTTGTCCTCTGACCTCCACATGTGCACCATGGCATGTGGGTGCCCCCACACATGTGCACGGACCCACAGCCTGTCCCCTCACACTAAATGGAAAAAAGTAACTGAGTGGGGGTGAATAGAACATGCCTTGGTGATAGAGTACTTGCTTAGCATTTGCAAGGTCTTGGGTTTCAGCCTTCAGTGCTTGAGGAAGAAGGGAGAAAGGCACAGAGAGGCGTGGGGAGGGCACAAAGTGTAAAGCCATAGACAAGCTGATCCGAATTCACAGACCATCAGACTCAACAACAGAGGGGGGTGTGCTAGTCCTAAGTGCACAGGATGCAGCTGCCAATGTAGACCAGAGTCTGAGTCATAAGACAAGCTCTGGTAAATTAAAGGAGTTAAAAATCAAGCAAAGAACACAACAGAATAAAATTAATCCTGAAAATCAATGACATCTAGGGGGAAAGAATCCAAGTATATGAAAATGTTTACACACACACACACACACACACACACACACACACAAATCAGTACATTAAAGACAAAGTCAGAAT